ATATACGCATACGCGAACGCGCGTAAATTTTTATAGAATTAAAAAATAAAAAAATCAAGATGTTGTTATTTTTGCACGTAAACGACGAGAATATTAAAAATTTGTTTTATACGAAAAATTATATTTGAACGACTTACTCGATTTGGGCATTAATTTAACGACACGTTAATTATATGTTTATACATCGTAAATTCAAATTTATCCGAACTTGAAATTTTTTTTTTTTATGTATGTTTTATTAAAAAAATTGAATAAAATTTTATTTATTTATTTTATTCATTTCATGCGACAGGGATTTTTTTTTTTGTTTTAGCAAAATAATAAATAAATAAACGAGTTTCGATTATTATTATTATTATTATTATTATTATTATTATTATTATTATTATTAATTTTTACGTGCTTTCATCGCGGTTATAAATTAAAAAATTCGTTGTGTGTGTCATTATTCAGGGTGGTGAAATATCGTGTCAGGTACACGAAAGAATTATGTCTATTTATGAAAAAAAAAAAACAATGAGGCAAACAATGTGTGCGTATATGGTCGACGCACGTTGTCGTAGTTATAATTACGATTGTGGTGGCGGTGGTGGTGGTGGTGACGGTGGTGCACGCCGTCGGCGCCAACATATTATGCGTACGTTAGTTACGTCTACGTGCGTGCCTCCATATTTAATAAGTTCAAGTGAGAAGATTAAAATGCGTAATATATATATATATATTTTGATTGTATTACGTAGTAGGTATCCATCGTGAATAGTTTACTTGATTTTAATTAAAAACACGAACGGCAATCAATTATTATTATTATTATTATGAATTATTTTGCACAAATTTTTTTTTTTTTTTTTTTTTCTTCCAACCCAAAATATTTTAATTGTTTACGTCGATTGTGACGATTGTGTGTGCGTGTGCGTGTGAGCGTGTGTGTGTTGAGTACCTGTTTCTAGTCATGTATGTAGTCTTGGCCTAATATGCGACACATTTTCTAACCTACCAAAAAAAAATTTAATTAATTATTATTATTATTAAGGCGATAATCGATTTGTTCGTTCGAACGCGAGTCTCTTAAATTTTAATATTTATAAACGATGCGATGAAATGTGTGTGTGTGACTGACGAAATTTTTTTTTTTTTTAAACAAAGAATTAATCAAACGAAATGGAAAAAAAAATCCGATTGAAAGCAAAAAAAAAAAAAATTTTTAAAAAAAAAAATTTTTTTCTTTTTTTTTCTTTTCTTTTCTCACCCTTTTCGAACCGCCAAGAATAAAAAAAAAAAAAGCGAAATGTTGTGAAAAAATTCAATCTTTGTAAAAAGCCAAATAAGCGAAGTCATTTTATTTTATTACAAAAGATCTTTGGAAACCATTTTGGAAAAGAAAAGAAAAGAAAAATATAAGAAAACGTTTTGGCAATGTTAAAAAAAAAAAAGAAAAAAAAACATTTCGATAAAATATACATAAGCTAAACATAAAATTAAACTCGAACTAATACACATACACATAATGTATTTTTTTCCCCCTCTCGGTACGTAAACACTTATAAAAAAATTATCCAATGCACTTTTGAAATATTATTATTATTACCATTACTACTATTATTATTATTATTATTATAGGTCAACCAAAAAAATAATAACAATTATAAAAAAAATTTTAAAATAATTCGTCCGAAAAAATATGTTTCGTTTAAATTTTATTATTACTATTATTATTATCTTTTTTTTCTGTATGTTGATAAGAAATCACGCGCGTTTTTTTTGTTTGTTTGTTTTTTCATTGAATTCGTCGGTCATTGATATAAAATAATAATTTTTTTTTTTTGTTATATCGAGAATGGAAAAAAAAAAAATGGCGGTGACGATGAAATGATTATTACTGTTACTACTACCGTTTTTTTCGATTCGATTTTTTTTTTTTTAAAGTTTAATCAAATAAATTCTTTTTCTATTTTTGTTTATATTATTATTATTATTATTATTATTATTATTATTATTATTATTATTATTTTCTCGTACTCCTCGGATATTTAATTTAATTAAATTTCAACGAGTGATGATAAATTTTAATTTTTTTTTCAATAATTTTACCTTTACGATTCGTTCGTTCGTTCGTTCGCGAATCGCGACTAATTTTTAATTTTTAATTAAAATTTAAATTTAAATTAATCAATTGATAATTTTATCGATAGGAATTCGAATTCCTTGAACTTGTTTCCACGTTTCGCGACATTTTTTGTTTTTATGTAACGCGTTAAAAATTTTTTTTTAAAATTTTTCATTCAAAAAAAAAGAGACTAACGCTGAAAAATTAATATGGATTCTATTATTTATCGGAAAAAAAAAAAAAAAAAATTTTCTTCACAAATCGGACGTAATAAAAATAAATAAATAAATACGTCTTTTGCGACAACAACAACAATAATAATAATAATAATTCAGTAGGAAAAAAAAAAAAAGTTTAAACATTTTACTAGAAGCCTAAATAGTAATAAAATTTCATTTTATTGCGCATAAAAAGGTTGAAAGTGTTTTAAACTGTTTTGTGATTGTATTTAAATGTATCTGATGTTTATTTCTTACGAGGTTTCCTTTTTTTTCCTTCTTTTTTTTCCTTTTTTTTATTGTTTTTTATTATTTATTACCGTAATTGTTGTTGTTGGATTCAAAGGAAAAACAAAAAAAATTTTTTTGTTTATTTATTACTCGTATTTTTTCGTCGGTGTAATATAATAAGAAGAAGAGAAACGTAATTATTATCATTGTACGTTGCTATCGATTAATTTAATATTAATTTTAAAAAAAAGCGTACTGGAGCTGGAATGTCGATGACGTAGTACGATTAAAAAATTCTAGAAATTTTATTTGCCGTAATTATCGCCAAAAAAGAAAAAAAAATAAAAAAATAAAAGGAAAAAAATCCAAAACGGTTTAAAAAGTTATTTTCAAGCAATAATATTTAAGATGGAAGAAAAAGAAAAAAAAGAAGAAGAATAATAATAAGAAAGATGAAGGGAGAAAGATGAGGAGGAAGGGGATGAAGATGAAGAAGAAGAGAAAAAAGATCGTAGCCTGTTTGTAGCTGCTGGATTCACCCTCGACATTCTTTGCAATAACCAGGGGTTGGTTACCATGGTAACGCTACCATACCGGCAGCCATTACTGCTCCATCTTAAATTCTTTACGACTATCTTGACATTCCACTTGCTTAAATGTTCAACTCGTTAATGGTTGAAGCAGAAGAAAAAGAAGAAGAAAAATAAAAGAAGAAAACTAGCTTTTCATTTTTTTCTTTTTTTTTTCTTCTGTCGGCGGTGGCGTAGGGAAATGATGAAAAAATTATTTTACAAATGAAATTCATTTCGAGTCACACATTTTTTTAATTTTTTTTTTTTTTGCTTTTACCCGCCCCTTCTCCCTCCTCACCCGTATCCAGTCCCTCGTTAAGTTTATAATTATAGTCTTTATAGCGTCATATTTTGCTATAAATATTTTTCGGTATTAATTTTAAAGTTTTTAATGATCGCTATGTGAATTTAGAGGAGGGAAGGTTTTATATATATATTTTTATTAAATATTTTTTATTATAGAAATTTTTTTCTTATATTTAATTAATTTTAGGGGTTGGAATTATGATTTTTCTCATACCGTTTTTATTCTTACGCACGAAAAATCTTTTTCCGACGGGGGAAGAGGGTTGAAATACTTAAAAATTCTTTTTTATCATTAATAATCTACAAACATTTTTGAAACTTTTTTTTTTCTTTTTTTTTTTTTTTTTACTCTTTCGAAGTGAAAGTTACCAAAAAAATAAAAAAACCCACGTTTGATAAATTTTTTGTTTTTTTTTGTCGGTTGTTACAATCCGTTTGTTGTTTAACTACAATTCTTTTTTTTTTTTTTATGCTTGCTCAAACAATAAATTAACTTTTGAAATAACAAAATGGTAAAAAAAAAAAAAAAAAACCAACCCTTTGAATAAAAAAAAAGAAAAAAAGACGAAAAAAAGCGCAATTGTTTGTTCGAGTTTTTAACTAACACAATAACTCAGTGAAAGTTTCTTCTTTTTTTTTGTGTTTGTGTTTGTCCACGTAAAAACGTTTAACTGACACAATACCTGACGTTACCTAATTTTATAACAATAATAATGATAATAACAATTATTGCGAAGGCAACGTTCGAGAAAAAAATTTTTTTTATTGTGAAGACGAATCGTTGAACGTAAAATAAAAATGGTCGGGTATGAAAAAAAATAAACCACAACCCGTTCGTCGTGTAATAATTTTTACAAATAACGTAAGCAAAGATTTATTTAAAAACATATGGCAAACGTATATGAAAGAGAGAGAGAAAATCAAACAATTTCAATGATCAAATGACAAACAACAACGTGATTTATTACGTAATAAATATCTCAGGTGGCGTTCACAATCAAAGTTTTACGACTTGATTTTTTTTTTTTTTTTTTTTCATTCATCAAAACTGCCTGAAATTTTTATTTTTTATTTTTTTTCCGCGGTAAAACTTCTCTTAATGAAATTGTTTTTAAAAAAGGTTTAGAATAATAATAATAATACTATTGACTGAAATAACGACGTTCACGGGTAATACGTTAAAAAGTTAAAAGTTAAGTGTTTTTTTTTTTTTTAAAGTTAAATAAATGCATGTAAGTACGCACGTATAATTTTAATGATAATAATAATGTAATTGGTGCGTGTGAGAGAGAGAGAGGCTGAACATTAAAAAAAGAATGATTTATAGCTTTTTTTTTTTTTCTTTCCATCTGATTTTTCATCAGGTCCAAACGGGTGTCCAAGGAGACGAGGTCGGCAGACCTACACGAGGTTTCAAACATTGGAATTAGAAAAAGAATTTCATTTTAATCATTATTTGACTAGAAGGCGAAGAATTGAAATTGCCCACGCATTGTGTCTCACGGAAAGGCAGATAAAAATATGGTTTCAAAATAGACGAATGAAATTGAAGAAAGAATTAAGGGCTGTTAAAGAAATAAACGAGCAAGCGAGGCGGGAAAGAGAAGAGCAGGAAAGGCTGAAACAACAGCAGCAGGATAAGCAGCAGACGAAACTCGAGCAGCAACATCACACCGTTAGCCATCATCACCATCACGACATTAAAATGGGACTCGACAAAACCGGAGCGGATTTAATGAAGGGGGTAACTAAAGTTCCGACATAAGCTAGCTTTTTTCCTTCTTTTTTTTTTTTTTCCTCTCTATCAAAAAAAAAATTTTTTATAAACGCGCGAGTAAAAAAATTTTTTTTGTTGTTTTCTTCTTTCTACATGTAAATGTAGACAAGACAAGCAAACGAGCAAGCAAGCAAACAAACAAACAAACAAACAAATAAACAAAACAAAACAAAAAAAAAATTTATAATTATTATTCAGTAGTTTTTGTAGTTTTCTAGATCTCGTGTGTTGTGAGTATGGAAAATGTCCTTTATTAATAATAATAATAATAATAATAATAATAATAATATTAATGACGATGATGATGATAATGATGATTAATTACAATGCATTCGAGTAAATGCGATGAGTAAAAAAAAAAAATAAAACAGCTTTATTTAATTTTTTTTTTTTTTTAAATGGCGCGTAAAAAAATTAAAACGAAAAATTCACTATTATTTTTTAAAATTACTATTATTATTATTATTATTATTATTATTATTTATTTAACAGGTAATTAATAAACGATGGAGGAGGATGTTATTAATTAATAGAGCTAATAAGTCTCTTTTTAAAAAGGACTTCCGTCCTCTCTATAGTCTATATATATAAAAAAAAAAAAAATTAAATTTTTTTAGGGCGTTCGCCCTTCATACGTATCTATACAAAAAAAAAAAGAGAGATAGATTATTTGAAAAAGAGTGTGCAAGAGAGAGAGAAAGCATTTAATTTTTAATAAGCCCAGTAAAACTTTTATATATAAAAATAAATTCTTCATACATTTTTTTTCTTTTTTTTTTTTACTTCTTTATACATACATAAATATAAATATATATTCTCTCTGTATTCTTTTTTCTTTTCTTTTTCTTTTTTTTTTTGTTATAAACATGTAATTTAGTGCAAATAGTTATATGAAAAAATAAAAATATTAATAATAATAATAAAAAAAAAAGTAAAAAAAGAATAAAAAAAAAAAGAGAAAAAAAAGAGGAAAAGTAAGAAGAAGAAGAGTGAACAAAACAAAACAAAAAAATTTTTTTTTGTTGCTATACATACTATGTATATATACATACATACATAAATTTTTTTTTAATTTTTAAATTGTGATCTTTTTTATTATTATTATTATTATTACTATTATTATTATTATTATTATTATTATTATTATTATTATTATTACATTGATTTTTTAATTATTATTATTATTATAATTTTGTTATGTAGGCAGAAAAAAAATATTTTGATTATTATTATTATTATTTGGTCGATTTTTTTATTATTTTTATTTGGTTGATTTTTGGTTTCGTTTTTTTTTTTTTTAATTCTTTTTTCTTATTTTTATTTTTAATAATTAAAATGAATTTTCTCAATAAATACGTATTAATTAATAATTATGTACATTATTAAAAATTAAATTAATAATAGTCGATTGAAAAAATGGGAAAATCGACGTAAGTTTAAGAAAAAAAAAAAAAAAAGGAAAATTTGACACTCGAATCGGCGTCCCGGTTCAAATTATGTATTTATTTAAATAATACATAAATAAATAAATAAATTTTTATTAATAATAATTTTTTCTTTTCTCCGATTGTAAATTATGAATTATTATTATTATTATTATTATTATTTTACGAGTATTATTATCAATCTCCGTTTCGTTTTGTTTGATATAATAGTAATTATTTTTTTTCTATTTCTGTTATTTCTAAAATAATAATAATAATTAATAATAAATTTTTTGTTTTTTTTCCTTCCAGGGCCTTTTTTCGTTTTTTAATGTTTACGTTGTTTTAATGTTTATTTCAGGGCCTTTTTTTCGTCAAGGATTAATTTTATGACGTCATGAATCGTTTTCCGATTATCAAACTGTTTTCGGTTGTTTTTTTTTTTTTATTATTATTACTATTATAATTTCTCTTTTTTTTTTGTTTTTCGTTGAAAATAATGTTTTTTTCTTTTCTTTTTTTCTTGTTTGTTTCTCGTACCAAAAAAATATTATTATTATTATTTTTTTTTATTTAGTTTAAAAAAAAAAAACAAAAAAAACCAATGGAAAAAAAAATTTTCATTCAATTTTAAAATGATTTAAGTACAAAACGTAATTTATTATTATTATTATTTAATTTAATTTTTCTCTTTTTTTCATTTATTAATAAATTTATTGTAAATTTAATACTAATAATAATAATAATAATAATAATAATAATAATAATAATAAAAACAAAAAAAAATGCCCGAAAGAAAAGGGACGAAACAAAAAAATTTTCCAAAAAAAAAAAATAATAATAATAATTAAATTATTAATCGTAATTGAAAAAAAAAATTGTTAGTGTTATTATTATTATTACTATTATTATTTTTTTTTTTTTTTTAAATTAAAATAATAAGTGATCGAAACAATAAAAACAACCGGTTTTTCTAAGAAAAAAAAAAGAAAGCAAACGGAAAACATTACGTAATAACAACAAACACTTTTTTTTGAAAATTTTTTTTTTGTATTTGTATTTAGGGGGAGGAGGAAAAAAAGGAGGAGGAGGTTTTAAATTCGTAAAATTTATTAGGATAGCCATAAAGCTTTAGAAGTGTTTTATTAAGTAATAATAATAATAATAATAATAATAATAATGAAAACGATAATGATAATTGCCATTTTGAAATGAAAAATTAATATTTATATAAAACAAAAAATTTATATACATATATATATAAATATAAATAAATTAAAAAAATATATTTTATTTTTAGTTTAAATAAGACGATAATGATAATAATAATAATAATAATAATAATAATAATAAATAATAATAATAAAATTGTATCCATTAGTATGTAAAACTAATTTTAAAAAAATAATTGTTGTTTTTTTTTTATTATTATTATTCTCTCCTTTCACTTGTGTAGTTCTAATTAATGATTTTTTGTTTTTGGATGTTTAAATAATAATAATAATAATAGTAATAATAATAATAATAATAATAAAAATACAAAATATTAAAAAAAAATAAAGTAAAATTTAAATACGTAAAAAGGTGTCAGGGTAGAAAAAACACGATAGACAAAATGTGTATAAAAAAATAATAAACAGTAATAATAATAATAATTATGATAATATTTAATAATAATAATAATAATAATAATAATAATAATTAATTAAAAACGTAATTTTTATTATTATTATTATTTTTTTTTTATTAATAAATTTTTTAAAAGGGAATAATCCTATTTTGGATAAATTTAAAAAAAAAAAATAATGAGGTAAGGAAAGTAGTGATTATTATTATTATTATTATTAATGTTATTATTATTATTATTATTATTATTATTATTATTATTATTATTATTTGTAAATGGATGTAAATTTTGTTTTGAAAATTATCAGGTAATTTTTTTTTTTTGATTTTTTGAAAAAAGGGAGGGAGAGGGAGGTGTTTGAAATTAGCAAACAAAAAAAAAAAAAAAAAACAAAATCCAATCTTTACTTTTTTTTTTTTAATGATGTTGAATGAATTTTTGTTTATAAAATTATTATTATTATTATTTTTTGTTGATATTTTTTCCCGCCATTTTTTTTTTTTTAAATTAAAATTTAAATCGATATTTAAATTTTTTTTTTTTTAGTTTTTGTTTCCGATTACCTTTGATGAAATCGATTTCGATGGAAAATTTTTATTATTTTATTTGTTCCCTCGTAACGATCGATCGATCGATCGATTGTTATTAATTTTTGTTTACAGTTGTCTAATCGTAATTAATAAATAAATAAATAAAAAAACTTCCCCGAGTGAAATTTTTTCAACAACAACAATAACAAAAAAAAAAATTTTTTTTATTATTCAACGTATATGTATTTATATATATGTATAATGAGGGCAATTTTTACGATATTAAATTGTAAATTATTTGTTTTTTCATCATTTTTTTTTTTTTTTTCTAAATATTTTTTTACTTTTTTTTTTTTGTAATGTACGTAATATATAAATATATACAAAGGGAATAATATAGATATTGTAACGATATGATTAAATAATAATAATAATAATAATAATAATTTAAAAATTGTAAAAAAAAAAAAAGGAAAAACCTCTCAACAAGCTGAATTAATCAAAAAAAAATTAGTATTTTTAGTTCCTTTTTTTTTTTTGTTTCTTCTGTTTTTCTACTTTTACTATTACTATTAATATTATTATTACTATTATTATCATTATTATTATTATTATTGTCAATGATTTTTTTGTACATACGCGCATAAATATATATATATATAATTTTTTTTTTTAATTATTATTTTGTCGTGCCATATTATTATTATTTTATTATTGTAAAAAAAAAAAAATCAAAATTTTAATTAATCGAGCAATAAGTTAACCGGAAATAAAAAAAAAAAAATTTTCTTTTACAACGACAAAACTATTTCCGGTGCTGGTTTAAATTTTAAAAAAAAATAAATTTTTTTTTTTTAACACTTCGCACAAACAAATGGCGGATTTTAATTTAATTTAATTTTTTTTTGGTTTCTTTTTGTAAAAAAAAAAAAAAAATTAATAATAATAATATTATAAATAATGGTAATAATAATAATAATAATATTTATGTAAAACAATATACTATGCAATATTAATATATAAGTTAAAAAAAAAAAAAAATTTGTATGAAAAAAAAAAAATAAAATAAATAATAATAATAGTAATAATGATGATGATGATGATTATAATGATAATAAATAAAAATTAAAAAAAAATAAATAAAGTTTTAATTTTCCCGTTTATTTTTCCTCGAAAAAAAAAAATTTCGTTCGTTGTGTAGATTTAAAAAAAAATAAAAAAAAAATGCTAAAGCAAAAAAAAAAAAACTGTGGAATGATTATTAATTACATTATTTAAATAAATGTTCTTCTTATGTAATATTATTATTATTATTATTATTATTATTATTATTGATTAATTAATTAACTATATATACATATATTTTAAATAAAGAGTAATAATAATAAAACTGAAAAAAAAAAAATT